TTCCAAGGCCCAACCACTCCCTCTGTGAAGAAATTCCTGATGTCCAACCTAAACCCTCCCCTGGTGCAGCTCAAGGCTGTGTCCTCTTGCCCTTCTGGGAGCAGAGCCCGACCCGCCCCGGCTCCAGCCCTGCCAGGGAGTTGCAGAGGGTGAGAAGATTCCCCCTGAGCCTCCTCCCATCCAGGATGAGCCCCCCCAGCTGCTCCTCACGGGACTTGTGCTCCAGACCCTTCTCCAGCTGAAACAGAGCTGAAACAGGTCTGGATACTGGGATTTTGCTCTGAGGAAGGTTTCACAGACCTCACTCCGAGGAATGCAACGTTTATGTCAAAAGGCAGCAGAAACAAAGAGCAGATATTGAGGGATGAGTCCAGAGAGAGGTGGTACCTTGCTCTGAGAGTCCTGCCCACGTTTGGTATGTTCTGTTCTAACAGAAGATAACGGAAAGGTCAGCTCAGTGGTCATAAATTAGATAAAATGGACATCTGAGGAGATAAGAGGAGCTCAGTCAAGGGGTTTTCGTAGTTAGGAAGAGTTGAATAGTTCACGAAGATGAGGAGAAGAAAGACAACCCCTGACGAGGCTGAAGAGCTGGAACGACCACCAAAGATCTCCCCAAAAGGATGACTCTGCCCCAAGCTCTGCCCAAACCCTGCCTGTTATGGATATGATAATTAGGTTGTGAAATGGAATGAATATGCACGTAAAGATGTCGGAATCCCTCATGAAAATTGGATAAACTGCCTGGCTGAGAACACTGAGAACTTCAGAGCTGGTTTGTGCGGCCAGAGCTGCCCAGCACCCCAGCGTTGCTCCAAATAAACACCTTTGCTGCTGAAACACCCCAAAACTGTCTCTGAGCAGTCACATTTCTGCCAATTTTGGCATCACAGCCCCTCGACGTCCTCCCCAAACCGAGCACCCAGAACCGGGCACAGCGTTCGAGGCCTCCCCCGTGCCGGGGCTGCTTTTGGTGCTGAAACAGGAGGCCAGGCCCAAAGAGTTAACTAAGAAATTTGGGCCTGCTAACGAGCTACCAAACCATCTGTGCTTGTTCTGTTCTACTTACCTGAGCAAAACTTAAGAGAATGGTAAAAGAACATGTCATAGGCCTGGAGGTAATAAATCAAGATGCAGTAGGATAAGGTAGACCTTGAACAGAAGAAACAGGCCGGGAGCTGAGGGTTTTTCCAAGCTTCAGTGAGTGGGTCAAGAACAATGGAAGAGAGGCCAAGCTGAGGAAGATGAGATTAAGCCCCCAGACCCATAGGAGGAAGATTGGAACTACCCCCAAGATCGAGGGTCAAGAGAAGCACCTCCCCAAGCCCTGCCTGAGCTCCACCTACACTCTGCCTGTTATTAATATGTATAGATAGATGCTGTAATCACTTGAATATGCATTTAATCCTATAAGAAAACTGCAT